CCTCCTCGATCAGTTTTTTGCCAGCAAAGACCAAAAATTTTATGAGCGTGGAATTATGCTACTACCAGAAAGATGGCAAAAGGTGTTGGACCAGAACGGTCAATATATAATTTAATAAAGTATTTGTTTATTACACGAAAACTGTCTTTTATTTCCACAAAAAAAAAAAAAATGACTTTCCGAACAACCCTATATATTTCTTCAATTAATATTCAGATTGCTAGTAATTCACGAGATATTAACAATTATAAAAATATTCGATTCATAGGTTCATTATATTCTGAAAAAACTTCACCTTAGTTGTCCGAATTAATTAACTTAACATAACAAGAGTATTATTAAAATGTTTTACAACTGATTGAATAGATATAATCGCTCCGTTGTTGTTTGCAAGGTCTAGTAAATGTTTTTGGAAAACGAAATATTCCAATTCATTTCCTATGTTTTAAATATTTCCTGTATTTTAATTTATTCAAAAAACTATCGATTCTTTTTAGATAATAATAATTAATTATATATTTTCCTATGTATTATACCATTATTCTAGAAAGAGTCAAAAAAATTGATTAGTCCTTTAGATTGTAATCTTTTTACTTGGCGTAATTTTTTAAACTTGTGTTAAAGTTGCATTATATGTTGCTACAAAAAAATTGCTAATCGAACTCGCGTAGCAAAAGGTACCAAAAAATGGTAACTGTTCAATATAGGTTTGTCTGTTGATATGGTAGATATACCACAGTCCTTGCAATCTCACAATATCTATATAAATCACGCAAAAATTACTGCAAGTTGTTTGTTTTGTTTTGTCTTTATTTCCTATAGAAATTATCTTGATATTCCTGTTTAATATCAAACTCTTAAGGTTTTCATACAATAAATAGACAAGAACGATAGCTATTAATGTCTCGAGGGACACAATTTATGTTCTCTTGCCACTAAGAGGGAGAGAGTCAAGCTGTGAGGTGCGCACACGCAAAAAAAAAAACGGAAAAGTTTCTACTTCCACCCCATCGTAAACTAATTTCTAATTGTAAGCGACAGTTGCGCATCATTTGAGCGAACGAATTAATAAAGTTTGCAATTACGTGAATCAGTTAGTATAAAACGTAAAATAGAAAATGTTTTTAGGATACTACAATTAAAAAATATACTGATTATGATGATTTACTTTCACCCTGCAAAATTTTAAGTTCTTTAAACTGTTTCTGATCTATTTTGTAGGGTATCTTTTGTTTGCTATTTGTAAGATATTTTATTTACCCTAGAATGTCATNTAATTGCGGAATATGATCGTACCTAACATGTTCTGTGTACCTCGAAGACGAAAAAAACAGGTTTAATTAAAAGAAAATTTAGTATCAAGTCAGAAAGAGAAAGGCGAATTTGTCGATCGATCCATCGTTAGTGTCATTGAATACGTCCCGATTTATTAAGTAATTGTAATCAAAGGTGTGTAATAAGAAAAAGCTATATATAATTGTTATTTCTTTCGCCAAACTTTTTTATAGTTTGCACCATAAAGTGATGCACAAAGATGGTCTATGAATAGAGTTCATTTTATCTAATCTGTGTACTTATCTGAATAAATATGAAAGTTTTTCGCACCTTAATTGACGGCAAATGTTTATTTACGTAAAACATTAAAATCCTGCTAATTGATAAACCATTTGTAAGTTAGATCTAACAAACACACGTCGGTGAAAATAAAAAGAATAAGTGCATTTTTTTAAAAAATCACTTCCAATTGTTTTTATTTGAAGTAAACATAGAGGAGTCAAATAAACTTTCAAAACGAACAAATTTCCACTGTAAATTTTGTGAAATTAAAATGTTTTTCATAATTAAATGCAAGGGTAGTTAATCAATCATAATAAATGATTTGCTATAAATAAAAATGGGCATACTTTAGTTACACACACACGTGTTACACACACTTTGAAAAATGTTCTCTGTAATATAATCTCCACCGACGTTTCGCCATTCGTTCTAAGATATTATCAATGCTACAATATATTTTAATACTATGTGAAACTTTTTGAAATTCAATGGTGGTTAATATTAAAAATTAAAGTAAAAATCCATTTTATTCATTATAAATTACCTCAAGTTAATGTGGAAAAATTGTGGCTGTTGTCACACCCTCGTCGGGAATCGAACCCGGGCTTTATGCACCAATGTTCTAACCACTACGTTACGAAAGGTGCATAAAGCCAAAGGTTCCGACGAGGGTGTGACAACAGCCACAATTTTTCCACATTAACTTGAGGTAATTTATAATGGATAAGAATGAAAAATGAATTTTCACATTAATACATAACATATTTGTCATAAATACAAGGTGTTAGGTGTTGTTATCTAGTTCCTGAGAATTAAATAATTACATTAAATAGGAACTAGATAATAACAATTAACATCTTTTATTTATAACAAATATTTTGTAGTCTTGATAAAACCTTACCACGGGGTCCGTTTTACTTTAGGGGCATTTCCTGTTTTTGTGCTTTTGGATTATTTAAGTCCTAAAGAACAAAGTTCAGGAGACTATTCCAATTCAACTACACCAATCAACTAAGTATTCTAATTCAACTATACCAATTCAATTCAAATTTTATTCAAGGCCCAAAATTCATTCGATGCAAGTAAATACCAAATATTTTTTCAATTCAATTTAGACCAAGTTACCTTTAACTTGTGTGTATCCGTGTATAATACAAACTCAATCGAAGTGTGTAACCAAAGGAGCCTTCGGCCACATACATCATCAACTTTTTCTATTTTTCGGTGTGAATTTCTATCATACAACAGATCCAATTAATTACCTACTTACTGCAAATTTAAACTTACTATATTTGCGAAGAAAGACTTGCTTTCAAGGTCGGACTTCTTCAGCTGATATTTCCTTATCAATTTGTCGGTGTTGAGATCGTATACGAGAATAGCGGGTGATGAGATTTGTTTCCCTTCACCCAATATATCGGCCAAACCGGTATCCACTGCCCAAAGCCTGTCACACTTATCAATATTAATTCTGAATATGGAAACTTGTTTCTCAGAATTTTTCTCATCGTCTTCGTCCAAAAGATTCGTTTCCCAATCAGGATAAGGGATCAGTAAAGGACTCGTGCTGTTGTCATCTAGAGATACGTAGTTCAGGGTTGAAGCTACACCTGATTTCCACCTTTGATAAGTAATAATAAAAATAAAAAATATTGTAACACAAAAAGGTGAAATAGAAAGTTGAAGGACGTAGTCGTATGTAATTAACGTTTTACATTTTATTTTATTTATCTAGTCGTCGACCGTATCTAATTTGATTTCACAGACGACATGATTTTTCAAATTTAATTCCTAATATGAGTTTTGTTTACGTTCTAGCCTTGATGTCACATTGTTATACATGCACATGACGGATTTTATCTCTCGTTNATCAATCATTCTCTTCATTCATTACAATACATAACCAAATATTCACAGTAACATAAAATTCTACTAACACCCTTGGCTAGCCTTTAACGATATTCGATTTTAGTAATCGGTTGTCGATAACAAAAATATATCGATCGTTGGTTTCATTGATAAGATTGATAACTATTGATTTACCTTGACTTTATTATTTTTGCAACTTTTCAATACTTCACTTTAACGTTAGAAATAAAATACTATTTATTTTTAGTTTCATCTTTATTAGGAAATTTTTAAAAACCATATACATAAATTTTAACAAACACAACTAATTGAACTCTACTTTGTTTCTTCTACATAGCAGTTATATTTGTTAAAATTTAAGTATTCGATTCCTGAAAACAAAGAAATTGGTATGTAAGGGTTAAGACTAGTAAAAAGTTTAGAGACGAAAGATTAGAAGAAATCGCTAATTTTCGATATCGGGGAAATCAGATGAGACAGGATATAAAAAACAGTATAGACATAATACAAGAAAGATAGCACAGTGTCGAGTCGTTTGAAAAAAAAGAAGAAACCAGTTTTATGCTCACAAACGGTTAATTTTGAAATTTGAAAAAGATTATCAAAAGTATATGTTTACAGTACGTTCTCTTGAAAAACCGAGGTCAACGATCGAAAATTCCTAGTCCTCATGCTTTAGATCACAAGTAAATGTAAATAAACACATAAAGGATAAATATTGGATGATTGAATAATGTCGATGTTTTGCGAGTAGTAACTCTGCGATCTGGACTCGTTTAGGATTTGTTACTTGAGTTCGTTTGTAGTCTAATTTAATTGAAATTCCTGAATGAAAGACATTTGAATGCTACTTATACCCGAATGGCATAGTTTTACACATAATCAATCCGCTGTTTGTCATAAATGAATCGCGAAACTGTAGAGATTATACACACACGCAAAAAGCGATCTATTGAAGAATAATTAAAGTCTGGGTAATTATTCTGTCTATAAACCGAAATCGATTTGTTAAAAATTACTTTTTGGTATCGACTTTAATCCTAAGAATATTTTTTAAAATGGTTTCGGAGACGTTATCATGACTTCTCTCTTATTTGCGAAATAATCGTTTCTTCTAGTAGTAAATTTCGTTCTTTTGGCATTTTGGGATGCTAGCACAATTGACGACGTCGGGCAGTCTTTTTGTCTGTGAATTTTTGTATTTTGTTTTAATGTAATGTTTAGTTTCGAAAATATGTCATTCAAAATATTTAAAAAAATATGTTTCAGTTCCTGGTTCCTTTCTCTAAAACCTTCCTATAAATATTTTTGAATTGTTCAAAATAATTGAAGAATTTAGGATCAATATATTTTATTATTCCACTATTAATCCCTTTCTAGAAGAAGAAATGATAACCAGTAAGGCAGATGCACGATAATCTGCGTTGTCCTAATTGCGGAATATGATCGTACCTAACATGTTCTGTGTACCTCGAAGACGAAAAAAACAGGTTTAATTAAAAGAAAATTTAGTATCAAGTCAGAAAGAGAAAGGCGAATTTGTCGATCGATCCATCGTTAGTGTCATTGAATACGTCCCGATTTATTAAGTAATTGTGATCAAAGGTGTGTAATAAGAAAAAGAATAAAACCTTGAAAAAGCATACGGTAAACGGTGATCAACTTGACCATTAGTTAGTTTAACTATGTATTTTTTCTTTTAAACCTTTTATCTCTTTATTATATTACATTTTGAGTACAGAATCCGAAGTCCTAACAAAAACCCCATCATAACTCCCTTAAATTTCAACATATCAAATATATACACCCTTCGTTGGATAGACCTTGAATGACAGAACAACTTTTGTCTAAGAAAATTTTTGATATACTCATCCATTTTTATGTTATTCACGAAAAACCTTGGAGATTTCAATGATGCGTCAAGCGACGAACCCGAACGTGCTCCCTTAAATTTTAACCTATCAAATTGGGGTTTNTGTCGATGTTTTGCGAGTAGTAACTCTGCGATCTGGACTCGTTTAGGATTTGTTACTTGAGTTCGTTTGTAGTCTAATTTAATTGAAATTCCTGAATGAAAGACATTTGAATGCTACTTATACCCGAATGGCATAGTTTTACACATAATCAATCCGCTGTTTGTCATAAATGAATCGCGAAACTGTAGAGATTATACACACACGCAAAAAGCGATCTATTGAAGAATAATTAAAGTCTGGGTAATTATTCTGTCTATAAACCGAAATCGATTTGTTAAAAATTACTTTTTGGTATCGACTTTAATCCTAAGAATATTTTTTAAAATGGTTTCGGAGACGTTATCATGACTTCTCTCTTATTTGCGAAATAATCGTTTCTTCTAGTAGTAAATTTCGTTCTTTTGGCATTTTGGGATGCTAGCACAATTGAGGACGTCGGGCAGTCTTTTTGTCTGTGAATTTTTGTATTTTGTTTTAATGTAATGTTTAGTTTCGAAAATATGTCATTCAAAATATTTAAAAAAATATGTTTCAGTTCCTGGTTCCTTTCTCTAAAACCTTCCTATAAATATTTTTGAATTGTTCGAAATAATTGAAGAATTTAGGATCAATATATTTTATTATTCCACTATTAATCCCTTTCTAGAAGAAGAAATGATAACCAGTAAGAAAGATGCACGGTAATCTGCGTTGTCCTAATTGCGGAATATGATCGTACCTAACATGTTCTGTGTACCTCGAAGACGAAAAAAACAGGTTTAATTAAAAGAAAATTTAGTATCAAGTCAGAAAGAGAAAGGCGAATTTGTCGATCGATCCATCGTTAGTGTCATTGAATACGTCCCGATTTATTAAGTAATTGTGATCAAAGGTGTGTAATAATAAAAAGAATAAAACCTTGAAAAAGCATACGGTAAACGGTGATCAACTTGACCATTAGTTATTTTATCTATGTATTTTTTCTTTTAAACCTTTTCTCTCTTTATTATATTACATTTTGAATATTATTATAGGTACAAAATCCGACGTCCTAATAAAAACCCTATCATAACTCCCTTAAATTTTTACGTATCAAATATGTACACCCTTCGTTTGATAGGCCTTGAATGACAGAACAACTTTTGTCTAAGAAAATTTTTGATATACTCATCCATGTTTATGTTATTCACGAAAAACCTTGGAGATTTCAATGATGCGTCAAGCGACGAACCCGAACTTACTCCCTTAAATTTTAACTTATCAAATTGGCGTTTGGACTGTTCGATAGACACTAAATAAAGAAGAAACTTTTACCTTAACAAGTTTTTGATATTTTTATTTATTGCAAAATTATTCGCTTAAAACCGGTGGAGACTTCAATGATGGGTCAGGCAACGAACCCAAAAACTCGAAATAAAATTACTAATGCGTTCTCGCACACTGTCATGTTTCTAGTGTTCTAAAGTCAACTAGGAACTTTTAGTTCGTCCGTCCATCTGTCCGTATGTCATTCTCCCGTGGGTTGAAAATATAATATTCAAAAATGTCATTAAACTAATTGCGCAGATTTTTCAGAAAAATGACAAAATTATTAACCTTAAATTTGACTAATTTAACCTAATTTGAGTTACTAAAAGTATTAAACTTAAAAATCGACTGGCGAAGAAAACTAATGATATGTAAGCGGGTATATCACTATTAATAAATTCCAAACTAATTGAATTTTCAATATAACTTTCGAAAAATTAACAATTTGCCAAGAAGTAGGTAGGTGCTTGGTAATTCCAATACCAGAAACCATAATAACATCGAATTACGTAAAATATTTTTAACATGTTGCTAACTGGGCGTATCTTTTAGCTCTTTATTCAATTCAGTAAACAACTTTTTATTTAACCATTCCCAAGTTTTATTCAAGTGTTCACACACCTGTCGGAGATCGTAAATTCAAAATCAAGTTTGCTATGTCGCGTCACGTTTTTGTTCCATTTTATTATTACGTAAAACTAGCTTTTCTTAATACAAGCAGTAAATGATACGTATTAAATTATTACTATATTCAATTAAATTAAATTTATCTTCACATCATGAACGCTCCTTGTTCATTGTTTATTTCTTTTTAATGCGTTTATCTGCCTATACATATGGATAACAATAACAATATCTCTCATTCGTCATGTATAGTGTATTTCATTTTTTTTTTCATTCCAAGAACATACCTGGCGTGAATATTTTTGCCTTTAATAAAACAATAGCAACACGATTTGCAAAAGAAGACTGGCTGAGATAATTATTTTCAATTGTTTATTATGCATACCTTTACATTAGGAATGAATGTATAAATGCATTTAATATCTTTTGAAACACATCACAAGATATACAAAAGCAAATTAACAATAAATATTGTTCAAAAGTCTATTAAGGAATGACCAATATTCAAGTTGAGAAGAAACAGAAAACGATATTAGAAAACAAAAAGGGCGTACCAAGTCATATAATTCGTAGATCCAAAAGAAAGTTTTTGATAATGCTAAATGAGACAGCATAGAAAGGTACTAAAATTGCTTAAAAATGTTAGAATGAGATATATACCCCTATAGGGATAGAAGATGAGTGGTATAGTTATAGAGTTTGATCAGGATAGTAGAGAAGTAAATATTAGGCAGGGAATTAGACAAAATTGTACATTGTCACAGCTAACTTGCGATTAATTGATATAATTAAAGACAGGGTACAAAGATTAACAATTAATTAAATATTTAAAAACGAAATAGAATAGCAGTGATTGGCCCATTTCTGTTTGCAACTGAAGAAATGTATCTATTGATTATTTATTATAACATATGATTGATTCCAATGAAAAAAATAACTCAAATGTAAAAAACGATTTTTCCTAGATTTAAATAACGTAAATTATTTTCCAAAAGTCATATATACAGTTTTTAATTTTGAATATATANAACTACCACTAATTAAAAAATCAATAAATAATGCTATTTGGATTATCATAATCAATACAAAATATTCTAAAAGTTTTTAATTTTGAATTATATCAAACATTTCGTAATTTAAAATCAATCTATGGAAAGACCAAAATTTAGTTCTGCATTTTGGGAGTTTTTAAAAATAAATTTTAATAAATAAATAAGTAGCGTTAGTGCATCCTTTTGTAAAAGACACTTTGTATATTTATTGTACCTGTATGAGCTTACCGTCTATCTGTAAGATGATTTAGAGAATCATTGTTAGTTATAACAAGACAGCTTTTTATTGTTGTTTTCATTAAATCTTTCCTTAGAGATACGTTATTAAATTGTTTATATTTATTTATCATCGACATATTCCAATAATGGTTTTCCACGATAAATGGTGTATTCATACGAAATTTATAAATCTTTGCCACATTGAAAGTGGCATTCCTCAAATGAGTGATAACATTAAAGTTACTGTCGCTTAGAATTGATAAGCGTGAAAATGGTGTTAAAATAGTATCTTCAAACGGCGGTTTGTAAGCAGAAACGTTGCTAAATATAAACCATTTGTAAGGAGTTTGAAATTTTTTAGTTGAATTAGCCTCAAAGAAAATAATACGTAGGTTATACATAGCATTATCAAAAAACTTTCTAATTAATTATGTATTTTAATCAGAAGCAATGTAAATTTATTTTAATTAGCTTTAAGCCCATAGATTTCACGAAATATTTTTAATCTGTTACTTACCAAAATCAAAATTTCGAGTCCAGAATTGCAACTGCAATCGACTACATAAACCAAATTTTGGGGTGGTAGAAATTCTACCATAGCTGATTCATTTACAAAATTACAAACGTAATAATCGTTGTCAGTCATGACTTTAGCAAAAAGTACAGCATCTGTAAATTTAGTAAATGAAGTTAATTCGATAGTTAGATTTTTTTGAGGCTTTTTTGTCAACCATGAAGCATGGATAGTCTTAAAGAATTACTTCTTTTTATTCTTCGTCTTGATAAACGTCTTTAGAAGTTCTCTTAAGTTAAGTTAAGACATTCACGTTTTAAAGGATAATTAAATAGTTAGCAAGAAAATTACATTAAAAGTAATAATAACTGTAATTACTTTGAAAACGTTTATCAGTGAATAACACAGTTTTGTTAACACTCATTAACATAACACACACGTAAAAAATGTGTAACCAAAAAACCCAAACACCACAATAAAATTTCGGAAAACATAATAAGTACATACTAATATATTTACCACTTTTTCTGCATAAATAACTAACAACATAATTTGGTCTATAATCAAAATTGTTTAGAAAATTGACCAAAAATTGCACTTGATCTTTTATGACAACACCAAAACAGCAATTTGGATAGCACATAAAGCAAATTGAATACAACGTTATCAAGTTCATCATTCTTTCTATCTTTGCCCCTACATATCCTTCAGGGCGACTAGTATCCGCCATGTTGGTTAGTTATTGACATAACCTATCTCCTGCCATTCAAATGTATGCGAATCACTTTTACTTTAGTTTTCCTCGGAACCTTTCGACTTATATACCATAATTTTTATCCGAAGATGAGCTTTTTACTTGTATACAAAAAGATACGCCAACAACGTGTTTATTTTTGAAGTTAGGTCTGGCATATCAGTAGATCTATCGGAAATAAACTTCTTGAATCCTCACGTTTTCATGGCGGCTAGTATCCGCCATGTTGATTAGTTATTGACATAACCTATCTCCTGCCATTTAAATGTTTGCAAATCATTTTTACTTGAGTTTTCCTCGGAACCTTTCGAGTTATATACCATGATTTTTATCCGATTATGAGCCTTTTACTTGTATAAAAAAGGCACATCAACGACATGTTTTTTTTTTGAGGTTAGGTCTGGCATATAAGTAGATCTATACAAATTTTAGGAATAGCTACTCGTGCTTGTGTATGAAGCATCTAATTACGAAAATACAAGAAATATTGAGCTCATTATTGCTTCTTCTGTGCGTATAGTACTTATCCATTCACTTTTTACATTTTTTGTTAACACTCCACACGCAACTAAATTTCGCGGTAACGGTAACCATTATTATCAAATAAACAATTACAGCAAGCATTCTCTAAAGTGTAAAATATGGATGAGGTTTCTGGAACTGACCTTTGTTTGTTATGCTGACATCTAATTGCTTTACCACTCTAATAAAAAGTGTGACCGTTTCTAATTAAATACCGTTGAATATTTATGAAATCAAGAAAACTTTTCGTAACTGGTTAATAAAAAATATATATTTTAATGGGAAAGAAATTGACTAATTAATTAGCTGTTTTGAGTAATGAGTAATGAATGTTAATTACGTATATATCTTGTAGTTAATTGTTAAGTTCAATTATTTCGATATTAAATATGTATTTTCAGTCTCAAGCTCTAAACGATGTATAACTTTGAAATTGTCAATATGGCGAACACAAGCCGCCATTATGCGAGATTTAAGAAGTATTATAGCTTTTCAATTTTTAGTTTTACAATTAATTTTTAAATTGAAGAACTCTTTTAGCTATTTTGGTTAATCCTATCGAACTAATGAAGAATATATAACTGGGTAATTACAGAAGAAGAAAACTTTCAACCTTGTTTACGTTTATTGACCAAATAGCAATTACTCTTCATAAATAATATACACTATCTTTCACATTATAATTAATTGCAAGAAGTATTATAAATACTACTAATAACAATTTTACAGGCAACAAAACGTTTTAAATCTAGAAAAACTTTTTGCAATACATTCTGTAAGCCTAGGAAGTAATTTATTTTCTAAAATGTAAAATTATGTTGCTACATAGTTCACAAAAAGCATATTGATGATTAAAATTATTCACAATACAGGTAGATATTATTCTTAATAACCTTCGCATTTTATTTAGGAGGTTTTCTATTAAACATTCCAAATAATTTCTTTGTGGGCTTTTGATACCTGGAATAAATGATTTATTATTACATCCTCTACCTGATTTTTATATATATTTAGAATATTTTAAAAACGTACATATAATGAATCGTTGCTTCTACCAAAAACACAGTCATACTTCTGAATATTCCAAAAATTAGTACAGCAAAGGCAAAATAGACGTCTATTATTCCAACGCTTATAAATCCACTGCCCCTACTTATGCAGGGAGGTTTTTTGGTATACAAAAGTGATACTTCGCGTTTTTGAATTCCAGATTCCGCCAATATTTTCAGACTGAAAAAATTCGTATTTTTCTAGACATGGTATACATTTACAGGATATGTGTGTATTTTAAAATCTTTGAAACAATATTTTATAAATTTTCTAAACAACCTTGGAATTAAAATAATTCGAAGTGGTCTGCAATCTGTCGAAACTGTCAGACGCGGATGGCGATTTCGATCTTTTTGGATCTCATCAGCGCATCGCAGATAGCTCCGACAGAACACAGACCAACTTTTACCTGCTGTCTTAACAGTGCGGTTTAGAAAATAATACAAATGGCGCAGTAAACGCCATCTGTGGCACGATGCTACATTTTAGGATTACATATGCTCCAACAAGGTCCACTTGTGTGGATATCTACTTGCTGAAAACGAATCCCGGCGTAGCCAACCTTAACGTGATAGGCACGTTAGCTTAATCGAATAAAATCGAATGGGAATTGTATACATTTCCTAGGAATTGTATGCATTTCATAGATTTCATACGTTTCCGGTAACATAATATGTAGATGGTTTACAAATGCTTTTAATCTTACGCTGGAAGTCGGAAGAACGATAAAAGAATTAATGATGAAAAAACTGAATGAATTAATTAATTTTCAATGTTTTACACCTCTTGAAGGTTACATTATAGTTAGTTTAGTTAACCCTCATTCTGTCTAGTTATATAATTAAACCGAAAAAGAGTTTTGTCTTCAATATCGCTGATGCAAAATAATAATAAAAAAATCGGTTGTCTGTAAAGTCGGTTTACTGACGATAGTTGAACGTGACGTCATAAGAAAATACTGATTAAATGGTTTCATTTTTCAAAAGAAAATTTTAATTTTATTTGTTTGATAGCTATTTTGTATAGATAAAGAGAAGGAGGTAAATGGAAATGTATTATTGTATAGCAGCTGTTCACGCGGACGCATCGCTCACTCAAGTAGGAGAGAGACAGATGTCGAACGCTGCCGAACGCGGAGGCCGATTGTGCCTCTTTGTCGCTCGTTCCGCGCTCTCGCTTGCACTTCAAGCCTTAAATGGAACGCCTCAGAGCGAGGTAACGCCGCATGAGTCATGTTTTTTCGTGCGTGCAGCCGGCTCTATCGAATTATAAGACGTTGTCACGTCAAAAGATGATTTTGTTTGTTCACGATACAACTAAATATTTTAATTATCATTAATTACAAATATTAACACATAACTAACCCGATTTTAATCGGTTCTTTAAATGACGAGTTTTTCTGCACTGCAAGCCACGGATTTCTAATTTGAAGAAACTCGATTTCCTGTAGTCCGCATTTTTCATGTTCTTGGAATATTTCAGCTACAGAAATATTTATTTTACTTTATTAATCATAACAGGAACGTATTATATTACCAATTAATTTATAACCGGCGCCAGTTTCCATGTGGAATGCAAATAATCCTTCCCTTATCCTTCGAACGCCCTCGGCCATCGGAAAATATCTTGGTGGTTGTCCAGGAGGAGCAACTTTTTTCAAATATAATGCCCTTCGTACTGGTTCTGTTTCGTTCTTTTCAAAAATTATAATTCGATTAATTATTTCAGTTATTTCTAATTTCATTGTATTGCAAGGCAACATTAAAAATTCTTGAACCTTCTTTTCTTAAGACTTAGAACGTTATCTATAAGATTTTTTATTTAATCATTTACGTATATCTTAAGGGTAGGTATTATACAATAGCTGAATTTGAAGTTAACCATATTGATGAAAATAAGAAATTAAGAAGTAAAAGAGTATCTATCAATTTTTGAAACTGTCTGTCTAAAAGAAAACTATTTTTTAGAACTATTCTAAATGATATTGCTATAATTTGATCCACTCTTTCATGTTAAAAAGCTATATTTTTCTATTAAGTGTTGTGAATACCATGTAGATTTTAAATTTTTACAACTTACAGGGAAATAAAATCTGTTGTAGACAGTATCATCGACCCCTACAGATAATCTTGAATGTAATAAATCGTTAATAGTTTGTATACTGTTAGAGGACAACTGCAACAAGGCCACAATATTGGCAGAGTAAGAATTGTAAAGGAACATTAAAACAATTAGAAGCATCAATGTGATCATTTTTCCTGTAAGGCTCCTTGGAATCAAGGAAACCCCTTGTTGGCAAAACGCGCTGAATTCTAAGAAACACACTTCCAAGCCAGAATGGCTAACTCGGAGACCGAAACTGTTCCTCTAAAATAATTTTTAATTGAAATAGCAAGCGATCATATTTACAATGCATTAATAATTACCTCCCATAAAATAACACCAAATAAAGGAACACCAACTGCTATAAGCATACAAAATATTGAAATCCATATGGTGTAATGGAACGGGAGAGAGAAAATGTTTTCGACATACGATAATTTAGGTTCTAAAAAGACGAATTTCGAACCAGTAGGTGTAGTCATAGCGACATATTCTATGATTTTAACCCTGTCTTGTGTCACAAACAGCGGTGTCCCTGAAAAAAAATATGATACTTTTTTAAAGACACAAGCGTTATGTATTTTTGATAATATGCAATACCTCCTAGGTCACTTTCGTGCCTAGTAAGTTCCCCTATCATCCCATTCCACTTTGAGTTGTTATCTTTGTAACCCCACGATGTCTCAATTGTAAAAGTCAAAGTAGCATTCAAAATATCAGCTAAATGTCTTACCAACACATAATTTACCTTTGCCAATGTGTCTATATGGGCATTTCTATAGAATTGGATTAGCAAATAAATCAGTATATGCTTTTAACAAACATACTGGTATGCAATCAAAGATTTTAGATATCTAGGAAGTCAGATAAGTCAGGACGGAAGGAGTAGTAGGGATATAAAGCAGAGGATAGCGCAGGGTAGAGTCGCCTTCAATAAAAAAAGTCACTTCTATGCTCGCGAATGGTTAATTTAGAAATTCGAAAAAGGTTGTCAAAGGTGTATGTTTAGAGTACGGCTTTGTACGAGTGAGAAACATGGACAGTGGGCGCGGCGGAAAAGAAAAGGTTAGAAGCGTTCAAAATGTGGTGTTGCAGGCGAATGATGAGGATACCGTGGATAGAGGAGGTTAGAAATTAAGAGATAGAAAGAATAGGAGAACAGAGGACTCTATGGAAGTCAATAAGAAATAGGAGAGATAGGTTAGTAGGACATCTTCTAACGCATGAAGGTCTAGTCAGACACATATTAGAGGCAGAAACGGGAGTTAGGAGGGGTAGACGTAGACCTAGATTAGATTACTGTTCGCAGATAGTTAAGGATATGGCTTGTTCTAGTTTTAGGGAAATGTGAAGATTATCTCAGGATAGGAAAGAGTGGAGGTGCGTGTCCGACCAGTCTTAGGACTGAAGACCTTATGATAATGATGTATTTTATGTACTCACAGTAATTTACATACGTACTTAACTACCACTAATTAAAAAATCAATAAATAATGCTATTTGGATTATCATAATCAATACAAAATATTCTAAAAGTTTTTAATTTTGAATTATATCAAACATTTCGTAATTTAAAATCAATCTATGGAAAGACCAAAATTTAGTTCTGCATTTTGGGAGTTTTTAAAAATAAATTTTAATAAATAAATAAGTAGCGTTAGTGCATCCTTTTGTAAAAGACACTTTGTATATTTATTGTACCTGTATGAGCTTACCNTGCATAAATAGCTAACAACATAATTTGGTCTATAATCAAAATTGTTTAGAAAATTGACCAAAAATTGCACTTGATCTTTTATGACAACACCAAAACAGCAATTTGGATAGCACATAAAGCAAATTGAATACAACGTTATCAAGTTCATCATTCTTTCTATCTTTGCCCCTACATATCTATTATACGTGATTTAGCGAATAAAGTAAAAAATAATAAATAGTTTCTTCCGTTCTTATTCTAGAAATCAAATATTGTATCAGATGGAAAGAATACACCATTAAGGAAAGAAACAATAACGGTAATATATTTGCAGAATAATTTTAAGATTATTGCTTTGTTTACATAATTAATCAGTCAATTTCTTTACGGATTATTTACAATTTACATTAATGCTTTGAAGTTGAATTCTACTAGTTTGCATGATCAAATTATTTCTTTCTACTTGCTAAACACATTTGAATAAAAATTATTGTGTATGTACAGGGGTTTTTTTAATAAACTAGTATGATATCAAATTCAGTTAAACCACACATCTGATACTTCTATTTTTCAAAAATGTACTAGAGCTTCTTTTAAGTCGTTTTTAGAAGATAGCTAACATAAAAGTCATTGTTATAAAGAACGATCATTATTCCAAAGCATCGTTAGTAACAATGACGATGCATTTCAGAATAGGATTATGTGCCTAGTAGATTATCAGGTTTTATTTTCATTTTCTCTTTTTGCTGAACTGAAGAAACTTTCATTCCATTGAAATGAACCTATCCCGTAATGCAGCTTCGAAACATCAACCTTCTTTACCATTATAATCGTTCGTACAATTCGAATGTCAAGTTCCCTTTTTCTAAAGGCATTCATGTTTTATACGAAAGTACAATTACAGTCAAAAGCAAAAGAATTACATTAGAATTAAAAATAATCATACTTTGAAAACCTATCATCGTGGGATAAAAGTTTTCCTGTAAATACACGAACTAGTCATTCAAGCATTATTAAAAAGAAATCTATGAAATTATAACTACATAATAATGTATGAATATAGAAAGTTTTTAACTAATAAAATTTATGTTATATACCTGCTTTTACTTGATAATGTTCTATTTCGTAATCGAAGGAAATGTTTCTTATTTCGAATCTCTTTTAACCGATTTTCAAATTTGAGCACACAAAATTTCGCTTTTTACAGTGGTTTAAGCCAATTTTAATATTTGTATGAAATAAAACCACTGTTGAGTGTTGGAAAGTGACATGAATTTTGATGAAAATGTGTTTTTACGTATTCGAAGGAAATGATTCGTAATTTCGGGTACTTTTTAACTAATTTTCAAATTTCGAATCACTAAATGTCGCTGTTTAGAGTGGTTTAAGTCAATTTGAATTTGTATGGTATTAAAGAGCGACAGAGTATTGGAAAGTGACAAGAATTTTTAAGAAATTGTGTTTTTACGTATTCGAAAGATGTAATTAGTAATTTTAATTCTTTTTTAACCAATTTTCATATTCGGAATCGCAAAATATCGCTATTTATAGTGATTTAAGTCAATTTTAATTTGGATGTTTTGAAAGTACGGCAGAGTGTTGTAAAGTGACAATTTTAACTAATTTGCATTGGATCAACTAGAGGCAGATTTTATAAAGTGAAGCAAACGATGCACTTTGAATTGAGCAATTGACTCATAATTCCCCGTATTCCAGAAATGTGAAAATTGAAAATTACTTAGGAATTTTATAGTTTGACTTGTAGTCTTTCGAAGAGGAACCCAAAATAACATACATCGAGCCTCGAATATCTAAAATCTGCTACTGACTGCTTAATAATTTTAACATTTGATGTATTAGGTATTAAAATAGCACTGGAATCCATAATTTGTGATAAATAAGCAAACAGTAGCTAGTGTAAACAAATGTAATACAATATTTTAAAAATATTCTATTTGTAATTTAAATTGCAAATGCAATATCAATATTGTAATTAATTTATAAATTTTGGTGAATGCGCTTGGCAATTCTCTGAATTGTCGCCATAATCGTGTTTCAAAACAATTATTATTTATTGTAACTGTACTTTATATTGCATTATATATATTTATTTTAACTTACACCTAATGAAAATTATTTTGAATTTGGTTTATCTTTTATTGAGGTCTGTCGTTTCTTATTATTATCTATCATTTTATTATGGAAAATCTTACTATACGTAATTAAAAGTACAAATTATTTTCTACTGGTAATGTCACATCAAAAGATATTGATTAATTTTTTTTCCTCTAATTCTTCGTCTTGATAAACGTTTTTAGAAGTTCTCTTAAGTTAAGTTAAGACATTCACGTTTTAAAGGATAATTAAATAGTTAGCAAGAAAATTACATTAAAAGTAATAATAACTGTAATTACTTTGAAAACGTTTATCAGTGAATAACACAGTTTTGTTAACACTCATTAACATAACACACACGTAAAAAATGTGTAACCAAAAAACCCAAACACCACAATAAAATTTCGGAAAACATAATAAGTACATACTAATATATTTACCACTTTTTCTGCATAAATAGCTAACAACATAATTTGGTCTATAATCAAAATTGTTTAGAAAATTGACCAAAAATTGCACTTGATCTTTTATGACAACACCAAAACAGCAATTTGGATAGCACATAAAGCAAATTGAATACAACGTTATCAAGTTCATCATTCTTTCTATCTTTGCCCCTACATATCTATTATACGTGATTTAGCGAATAAAGTAAAAAATAATAAATAGTTTCTTCCGTTCTTATTCTAGAAATCAAATATTGTATCAGATGGAAAGAATACACCATTAAGGAAAGAAACAATAACGGTAATATATTTGCAGAATAATTTTAAGATTATTGCTTTGTTTACATAATTAATCAGTCAATTTCTTTACGGATTATTTACAATTTACATTAATGCTTTGAAGTTGAATTCTACTAGTTTGCATGATCAAATTATTTCTTTCTACTTGCTAAACACATTTGAATAAAAATTATTGTGTATGTACAGGGGTTTTTTTAATAAACTAGTATGATATCAAATTCAGTTAAACCACACATCTGATACTTCTATTTTTCAAAAATGTACTAGAGCTTCTTTTAAGTCGTTTTTAGAAGATAGCTAACATAAAAGTCATTGTTATAAAGAACGATCATTATTCCAAAGCATCGTTAGTAACAATGACGATGCATTTCAGAATAGGATTATGTGCCTAGTAGATTATCAGGTTTTATTTTCATTTTCTCTTTTTGCTGAACTGAAGAAACTTTCATTCCATTGAAATGAACCTATCCCGTAATGCAGCTTCGAAACATCAACCTTCTTTACCATTATAATCGTTCGTACAATTCGAATGTCAAGTTCCCTTTTTCTAAAGGCATTCATGTTTTATACGAAAGTACAATTACAGTCAAAAGCAAAAGAATTACATTAGAATTAAAAATAATCATACTTTGAAAACCTATCATCGTGGGATAAAAGTTTTCCTGTAAATACACGAACTAGTCATTCAAGCATTATTAAAAAGAAATCTATGAAATTATAACTACATAATAATGTATGAATATAGAAAGTTTTTAACTAATAAAATTTATGTTATATACCTGCTTTTACTTGATAATGTTCTATTTCGTAATCGAAGGAAATGTTTCTTATTTCGAATCTCTTTTAACCGATTTTCAAATTTGAGCACANTATCTTAAACTATGTAATGTTTTAATTTTTGTTGTATGTATTATGCATTTTCTAAGTACAGATAAAAGAAATATTATGAAAAAATTATGATAGGGTAATTAAAAATAAAAGAAAAACAATGCATTGGTCTTCATCTTTTTTGACACTTCTTCTTCTTCTTGTTGTTAAAAACAGTTGCCAGTCAAAAATAAATTTAATGAGAAACCGTTTAGAAAATAAATAATGTCAAACTCACACACAGCACAGTCTTCTCCAAAAACTGTTCTTAATTCTTTGCCTCTTTAGAGCCAATATTATCGCTTGGTCGAAGGCGGCTTTGAGATGGTTACACGTCTTAGCAGACGTGGCAATGTAGGGAGCATTCAGTCTAGCTGCAAGATTGAGAGCGTGCTCTTTCGAAACGGGGGATTCCCTCTTTTCTCGTAATTGTTGCAGAACGTCGGGATTATTGAGCAGATCTGCTTGCGTTCCCACGAGGACCACGGCAGCTTCGTGTTTTGATAATTCCTCGGCCCACCTCGTACAAGCCGAATGGAATGAGTAGGGTTTTACTAGGGAAAAACAGAGCATGAAGACGTCTGTACCCGGGTAACACAAACTCCGTAGGGGCGTAAATTCATCCTGTAAAAAAAAAAGGAATAACTTATTCCGTATACTATCTGATCATGAATGACTTGAGTATATTAAATCTCTGACATATAGGGAGGAATTCTATTAATTAATAAGACGAGCTTTCAAATTATAACTCCCCGTTTGCAATATAGCTTCAAGAAGTAATTTTTCATTGAATTACAATATGGAGGTTGCTTCCCCAACATGGCGGCCTGTATTAAAGTCAGCTTCCCATAATTCATTTCGAGCTAGCTTATGACAGAAACTTGCGTTTGTTTTTTCAACGCAACTCAGCTATTTCCAACAAAAGATGCGAGAAATAGGCCTCCAAAATTTGGCACGATAGCTTTGATCAATATAATATTATTTACGTCTATAACTAATCAACGACCTAGTTTTGTGACAGAAAGAGAACGTTATAGGTAATAGGTATCCCTTCAATTGCCAAAAAAGCTATTGAAGGACTCAACTGAATTATATATATATGTATTGTACAGAGATTCATTCTCCATTCGACTTTATAACTACAATATGTATTTGTTACTACTTAACCACAATTACCATAAAGAAAAGTGATGTAACAACATATTTTACGTAAATATTTACATTGTAACAATTGATATCTTCATGTAAGTTTTATTATTAGTTATAAACATATCCTTAACGCAGTAAAGATATTGTGTTTGAACAATAAATTAATATTCAAGTAGCACAACATGTATTACAAGAATAACAATTAACTAAATGAATAAATAGCAATAGAAAATTTGTTAATTAGTACCTATATTATAATAAATTAACAATTAAGANTTTATTATTATTATTACAGTTATAGGCAATTAATTAAATTAATACAGAGCGTTTGATTTTATCACAAGAAGTGGAAATCCTACTCGCGAGTAATTCCACATTAATTAACTTACACATTAATGAAAATCAGTCATAAAACACACATATCAATATATTACACAAATTTGAGCCCTACTTGCTTTTCATTACATCTTTTTTCTTCACTTTAAGTCGTCTATTAGAAATCCTTTTCACAACCAATTATTTCCTTTTTATTATCTGAACACAAAATTTTTGCGATCAAAAACTAGCAATATGGTTGCCAAATCAACCTAACAATTACGAAATCAACCGAATGATCCCGACTACCCACGAAGAGCGTGCGAGCCAATAAAACGTGACAAAACTCGAACCTCGGCTATCATCGACATTATTCGGTTAACTCCAGATAACTGCATGGCTAGCAAATCTCAAAAATCTTTTAAATTTAGTCCTTTTCATTTTTTCAAAAACAACTGCCATGTAACTTCAAAATAGTACCAATATGTAATAGTGAAATATATTATGTAGGTGCAATTTTATTATCAATAAAATGTGCTTGAATTTAACAAGATTACATACCTATTTAAGAAAAACTACCGCTAATCACAATTGCTAGAGATGAGCACATTTTGAAAATAATTTATCTATTTACGATAATAACATTATTTATCATTAAAGGGTTTAAAATAGCAACCCTCGAATAGTTGGACGTTTATATTCTGAGAACAAGGCCGAATTTTCTTTTAACTTCTACCCTGTTATCATTATCATTATAAAAAAAATAATAACAATAATAATCACTTATTACTGTCCTGTAAACGAATTAGTAAAAAAATTACTTTCATTAGGAACCTTTATACAATAATATCCTCTATGATGTGATTAACAAATGTATAATTTAAGTACACAAATGTATATGAGTTTTTAAGTCGTTTTTAGAAGATAGCTAACATAAAAGTCATTGCTATAAAGAACGATCATTATTCCAAAGCATCGTTAGTAACAATGACGATGCATTTCAGAATAGGATTATGTGCCTAGTAGATTATCAGGTTTTATTTTCATTTTCTCTTTTTGCTGAACTGAAGAAACTTTCATTCCATTGAAATGAACCTATCCCGTAATGCAGCTTCGAAACATCAACCTTCTTTACCATTATAATCGTTCGTACAATTCGAATGTCAAGTTCCCTTTTTCTAAAGGCATTCATGTTTTATACGAAAGTACAATTACAGTCAAAAGCAAAAGAATTACATTAGAATTAAAAATAATCATACTTTGAAAACCTATCATCGTGGGATAAAAGTTTTCCTGTAAATACACGAACTAGTCATTCAAGCATTATTAAAAAGAAATCTATGAAATTATAACTACATAATAATGTATGAATATAGAAAGTTTTTAACTAATAAAATTTATGTTATATACCTGCTTTTACTTGATAATGTTCTATTTCGTAATCGAAGGAAATGTTTCTTATTTCGAATCTCTTTTAACCGATTTTCAAATTTGAGCACACAAAATTTCGCTTTTTACAGTGGTTTAAGCCAATTTTAATATTTGTATGAAATAAAACCACTGTTGAGTGTTGGAAAGTGACATGAATTTTGATGAAAATGTGTTTTTACGTATTCGAAGGAAATGATTCGTAATTTCGGGTACTTTTTAACTAATTTTCAAATTTCGAATCACTAAATGTCGCTGTTTAGAGTGGTTTAAGTCAATTTGAATTTGTATGGTATTAAAGAGCGACAGAGTATTGGAAAGTGACAAGAATTTTTAAGAAATTGTGTTTTTACGTATTCGAAAGATGTAATTAGTAATTTTAATTCTTTTTTAACCAATTTTCATATTCGGAATCGCAAAATATCGCTATTTATAGTGATTTAAGTCAATTTTAATTTGGATGTTTTGAAAGTACGGCAGAGTGTTGTAAAGTGACAATTTTAACTAATTTGCATTGGATCAACTAGAGGCAGATTTTATAAAGTGAAGCAAACGATGCACTTTGAATTGAGCAATTGACTCATAATTCCCCGTATTCCAGAAATGTGAAAATTGAAAATTACTTAGGAATTTTATAGTTTGACTTGTAGTCTTTCGAAGAGGAACCCAAAATAACATACATCGAGCCTCGAATATCTAAAATCTGCTACTGACTGCTTAATAATTTTAACATTTGATGTATTAGGTATTAAAATAGCACTGGAATCCATAATTTGTGATAAATAAGCAAACAGTAGCTAGTGTAAACAAATGTAATACAATATTTTAAAAATATTCTATTTGTAATTTAAATTGCAAATGCAATATCAATATTGTAATTAATTTATAAATTTTGGTGAATGCGCTTGGCAATTCTCTGAATTGTCGCCATAATCGTATTTCAAAACAATTATTATTTATTGTAACTGTACTTTA